CCGTAATTTATGAAATAAAGAACAATTATGATCTAAAGTGTATCAAAATTTACAAAAAAAAAAAAAAAAAGCTTAATATTTATTTGTTAACTTTATTAAACATTTCTTTCAATGTAAGTTGTTTAAGTTGCTTCGTTTTATGTGATAATATTTTCTCTTTAATTCTATAAACAGACATAATTTCTTGTTCAGTTACAAAGTTCTGCTGTTCAAGTCCCGTTAATTGCTGTGCCGAGAATACCGACTAACTTGTCAATCGAAATTTTTTCGTTTTCACTAACCTCTCTGTCACATTCTTCATGTCTTTATCCATTTTTTGCAGCAATTCCACTTTTTGTTTGTTGGACATGGAAACATACTTTCGTTTTGTAGATCCTTTGGAAGTTCCAGCATCGGAAATTCTATTTGACATAATCGAAAGTTCAAGTTTACTTTTATAAAATTGCTCTTACAGTCTGCAAAAAATAATAAGCGGGATCCTATTCGAAGATTAAGAAACAACGCAATCATTAACATTAACTGAAATAGATAATTAGATAACTTTAGCTTACACCGTCCGTTATACATTAAACGCGCAGGCGAAAACGTATTCTGCACTTGTGCACACGCATATGCACAGTAGTCAAGGTCTTACACGCACGCGTAAAACGCCCGTGCGCATGTGCCAACGCGGCGCATGCGCAGAAAGTTTTTAGCTTTGAGGTCCGGATTATGGGTGTCCGAATTAACGACTTTTGACTGTATACTATCATGGTTCAACATCCTGATTCACCGGTTCGTATCACGCGACTTTAAATAATCTCATCTCATGTAAACTATGCTACAAAAATATAATTCTCTACATTAATTTCAAGTTAAATCTTAATTTGGAATACAAGTTTAAATGCAAAAACTATTTCAATTCGTACGAATAGCTTACTCAGAAATTATGTAAAACCGCAGTGCTTTACTTCCCTAGTGCATTCTCATTAGAATGGATGAATTTAACCCTTGACTTTGCCTTTTCCATATTTTCATCTTCGGGTGAGCGGTGTGATTGCAACCTAATTGACTTAATTACCGCGAATGGTCTTAGGGCATAAAATTTAATTATCTTTGTAAATATTCTATGTAATTGTATACCAATATTGAAAGAATCAATCTGGTAAGAAAGGGCTGCGACTTGTTTTGAAAATGAGGCATAAAAGATTACCAGCAAAGATTAACACTGTTTGGCATCAGATGTAACAGTATTGGCGACTTTATCGCTTGCGCCCGCAAAATGGAAAAGTGCCGAAATACATTATTGACATGTCTTTGCAGGCCACATGCAATTGTTTCAGAGAGGCCCCAAATTTGAGACCACTGCTCTAAGATTCACTCTCCCAAGTTTTGACTATATACATTACTTCTTTGTTTCTGTAGTTAGAAAAATAACTTGCTTCTCTGAGCTTTGGCTGTCGCTGAAATTGGAAAAGTTTCGAGTTAAGACATTGTTTAGTTATTTCTTTATTAGAAATTATTTATTTCTTCATTTATTAATAATATGTACATTTGCTTCATCAAAGTTTCTGCACTTTTTAGCTAATGTAAATTTATTTTGATTAAGAAGTTGCTTGGAATATAAGAGTAACATGCAAAATAGAAACTGGTGACTTATGGTATTGGTTGATCATATTCATTATTCTGATGTTCTTTTTATGATGAAACCTATATATGTTGGGGGTAAAAATATATTAATGGGTGCGCATTGGCGATTTTTGGCGGTACATGGACACCGAGTTTGTGCTATTCTTTGACTTGTTATTTGGCTTTGTGTGGCCAAAATAACAAGTAAAAATAATAAATTTCATTTCCTAAGTATTCTTTAGAACATACATAAGCAATAATAATATTACAAAGGGAGAAAAATTCAAACTTATATTATTTTTATCTGAAATCTAAAATTTGATATCTGCAAGATATTTTTGTTGGTTACACTGTGTAATTGAAATATATTGGCAACTAAATATTAAATTTTGTCACTGACCTTTATTTAAAATAGTTCTAACATGCTTAATTGAATCATTAAATAACTTGCTTTAAACTGAAAGAAATTACGAAAACTCGTAACTTTTCAGCATAACCTCTTCGTGTTATTCATTAAATTTTTCGGTACTTACGCATTAACGCAACCAGGCCAAAATTCGCATAAATTGCGAAATTCGGCAACCCTACGTGTTATATGTAGTTTTGTAAAAAGAGCATGTGGAGATTCACAAAATTTTCTTGCATTTTCGTGCAAATTTTTGTAATTTATGAGAAAATAGCAGTGTACATGGATAAAGTCAAAAGTGTGCGTAATGCCATTTTTGTGCAATTCTGGGATGTTTTTTTTAAGTAAAAACAAGTAGTCGACGTGTACATGGTTATGGCGAATACGGTTTTTCAATCAGTGCTAAAAGCAATAGCCAAAGGATTTCTGCCGAAAAAATAATTCTGCAACTTATTCAAATTCGAAAACCGGAAGGGTTTAATTGTTATTTTTAATTTTTAAAACAAAATAATATAAAAAACTGTATTAAAAATTATCTGTAATTAATAAATGTACATTTTCTTTCTATTCATACTTTTTTACTCAAACTTACAAATAGTGTCAACCTGGTTGTGATAATAAGTAAGTACCAATTTTTCTTTGATGCATAAACAAATTGTATAAATTATAAACTTCTTTCATTTCTTAATGCAGCTTGACACATAAAAGCTTTCCAATTCTGATAAAATTACTAGCCTCAGAGAGAAATTACTGGAAATGATCTTATCATGGATTATAGATACTCAGCAGTCAATCTGATTCTTTTCTTATTAATTTTCAACTGTGAAGAAAAGCTGTTTGCATATAATGTATACCCAGACAAAGCGATTATTCTAGTGCAGAAATTTGTAAATCAGCTTAGTTATTCTTTGACAAGTACAAATAATATCTTCAAATCTTTGAAATAAGATTTATATTGCATTGTAAATTAGCTAACTTCCAATCATAAATATTGTGATGCATTATTCACATTAGTTTTTAATGGCAATGAAAGTAATGTGAACTTGGTTTTCCTAATAACTGAAATCTTTGTAACACTGTGTTTGCAACGAGTTCATAATTGAAATGTCTGGCTTAAAAACATCTTGCCCCCCCCTTTTTTTTTTTTTTGTGTGTGTGTGTGTGTGTGTGTGTGCATTTGTGGATGGGTGGAATGGCTAATAATCTACTGATATCATATCAGACCTTATTTTAGACTGTTTAATTAGAAAATGGATTTGAGACAGCTTGACAATTTATATTCCAAAGTAAGCAGGGAAGTTCACTTCCCCTCCTCTTCATGTATAATAAGTAAATTTCAACTAGGATTACATTGGTTACCTTCCAGATATCAAAGTATATTCTCTTTCTGTCGAGATACTCAAAGATGTCTCAAAGTAAGCCAGTTGGTATCTGCAAGAAATATTTGATGGTTATTCTTTGTAATTCAAACATATTGATAGCTAAATATTAAATTTTTAACTGATATATATTTTAAATAATTCTAATATGTTGAATTGACCATTAAGTAACTTAACTAAAACTATATAAATTATAAAAACTTTTTGAGTAAAGGGGAAATTGAAAATAAATAATGACAATGAATTATCTTTTTTTTATTTATTAAATTTTCCCTTGATTTGTGCAGTAAAATATTTGTGGTTAATCTTTGGATTATGGTAACTTGGCGATTTTTTGGCGATCAACCCTGCTACAGCAACCTGCTAGTTTTTGTTTGGATGCCAATTTGGTGTCCCAAAGTAAAGGCATTTTTTTTTTCCTAAACATTTTTTTCCAACAATCTGCTAGCCGAATTACGCTTATGCTAGAACTTTTGTGGAACAAAAGTGCTTAATCATGACGAAGATTAGGTGCGAAATTGGGACAAAGTGCAGAATCGCCCACTGCTTACCGCATCTTTAAGAATTGCACATACACGGTATCATCCATGTAAACGTTGACATATTTTCACTTAAAAAAAACATCCCAGAATTGCACAAAAATGGCATTGCGCACACTCTTGACTTTATCCATGTACACAGCTAAAGTCCTGGCTAGTAACCTTTATCGCCTTACCAAAATGTCACCAAACTACCTGTTCCAAAGATTAGCCATATTTGTATCTAAATAATTACAAACATCTTTATTTCTTACTACACTTTCAGCTACAACACTTCATGATATTTTGATTTTAATAAAAGTTTGGAATCTCTGAGAAAAATTACTAGAAAGTAATACAAACTGTAGATCCTCATTGGTCAGGTTCTGGTTCTTTTTTTAAAACTTACCAGTTTTCAACTGCAGAAAAACTATTCGTAGATAAATATGTTCCCAAAGAAAGCCAAAATTGCAAAAATTCGTAACTGAGGTTATTTTTCTTTTGACAACTACAAAAAAAGGTTAATCATGTCTCTGAAAAAAAGATTTATATGTGTCATAATTAGCTCCATTTACTCCTGTTCATTTTTAATGGCAATGAAAATAATGTAAAACTGGACTCAAAATCATTAAAATTATAAACTCCAAATCCTGGCTATAGTAAATTAATGTAATAATAATGCTAATTAACTTGCGGGAAATGTACCTGTGGACCATGTAAAATTGCTTTGGTACTGCCAATTTGAAACGACTGCTCCAGGTCATGTTTGATGTGATTTTAGCAAAAGCAGGAAATGATACATTTTGCAATTAAATGGCTGTATCCCAAAAGTTAGTTAAAATTTGCATGGTTCACTTGTAACAGATTTAAGTTATTTATATTGGTAATACTTTGATATATTATCAGGGTTGATATCCTTTAACTGGAGGAATTAGTTTTTTCATTTAACAGAAAAGCACTGATATTTTATCTTATAATCATTTACATTATTTAAATGTATATTTGAATCTTATTAATCTTTGAATTATTTCTATCTTGGTGTATAAAATTATGTTGATGTTTCTTTTGTTCTTTCTCCCCATCCCCCAGATTCCTGTAGCTCACCATTTTACATAACAATGGCTTTAAAACTTTTATCAAATGTGTCGAGGCCTGGATGCTCTCTTCTTTCTATATGTCTTCAGACATCCCCATTAAGTCAGTCAGTTCTGAGAATGCAAAATGCTTTTCATACTAGTAGTTTATGCTCTAAAGTAGAAGGTTGGCTGAATCAGAATGATTGGGTTTATCCACCTTTGAAGCCTGGAGAAGAAAGAAGACCAGCAGTAAGAATTTATCTTGTTTATCATAAGCAATAGTGTATATAATTTTCATCTTGTTGTGTTAAATAAATTATAAAGCAGTTTCTCCTGTGGCTAATATAAGACTTTGTTATGCAAGATGGGTATAATTAAATTTGTATCACTTGTTGTGGATTCCAAATAACATAGCTTCATCAATATGGTATCAATAAAGTGATACATTTGTTTTGTGAAGTGAAATATCACCATCATAAAATCTAACCATTAAATAGACAGACACAGAATTAAAACACTTTATTATTCCTTGCTACTGGTTAGTGCTTAAATTAAAATATACAAACCCAAATTTACCAAACAACTTGGCCTGATTTAAAATTCAAAACATTCTTTTATAAAGGATATAAAAGCAACAAATTTAATTTAATTTTGCTAGAGACTATAAGATTATCCACACTATGGCAGAATTTCAAACACTTGTCAAAACAAGATCTAATCTGAATCTAAAGTATTCCTAGCAAGACCAGCATTAGCATTGCCAACAGACTGATTTCTTCATTCGGAAAGGGCAGCAGAATGCAAGCCTAACTCTCAGATTCTTATTCGTAAATTTCTAGACTTTATAGTAAAACTGCTTACGTCTCAAATCTGCATAAATTCTGCAATAAGTGAACCTTGTGGCGAAAAGGGAAGAGAAAGGAAGAAAGTAAATTAAATAACATTTTGTTAGTACAGTCAAAAGTCTTTAATTCGGACTCATCGGGACTTCGGCAATTCCGGATTATAGATCATCAGTTTAAATCTGGTAAGATGGCATGCAGAAATTATAAAATTAAAAATATGAAACCGTAATTTATGAAATAAAGAACAATTATGATCTAAAGCGTATCAAAATTTGCAAAAAGAAAGCTTAATATTTATTTGTTTACTTTATTAAACATTTCTTTCAACGCGCACATGCGTAAAGCATGCATTATGCATAGTCGAAATTAGAAAATTCCAACCAGAAAACTATTTGATGTGTATTCGTGATATTTATAATGAATGTGATTTAAGTCATATCAAAGACAGAGTGCATCGAGATGAAATACTACATTTAGTAATGAACTATAAGCCGAATAAAATAAAAACATCTTCCCTGAAGAAAAGGATAGTCCTGACAGATCAACTTCCAGTTCATTGCGCTCTGCGACATTCCCCTCCCCCGCAGAGCAGCGTGAAATTGATAAACAGATTTCGGAATGGTTAGAGAAACAAAGGATATGCCTTTATCCATTTTTTGCATCAATTCCACTTTTTGTTTGATGGACATCAAAACATGCTTTCGCATTGTAGATCCTTTGGCAGTATCCAGCATTGTAAATTCTATTTGACATAATCAAAAGTTCAAGCTTACTTTTATAAAATTGCTCTAACAGTCTGCAAAAAATAATAAGCCGGATCCAATTCGAAGATTAAGGAACAACACAATCTGCAATATTAACTGAAATAGATAATTAGGTAATTTTAGCTTAGCTTATATTGTCCGTTATACATTAAACATGCATGCGTACATGCATATGTGCTTGCATAAAGGTATTACGCGCATGCATAAACGCATATGCGCATGAGTGAACACATTATGCATTGACACATGCGCAGAAAGTTTGTAGCTTTTAGGTCCGGATTATAGATCATTCCGGCTTATGGGCATCTGGATTAATGACTTTTGACTGTCAAACGTAAAATATAAATGCTTATATACATATTATATAATATAAACTTATAAACATCTTCCCTGTAGATAAGGATAATCCTGACAGATCAACTTCCAGTTCATTGCACGCTGCGACATTCCCCTCCCCCGCAGAGCAGCGTGAAATTGATAAACAGATTTCGGAATGGTTAGAGAAACAAAGGATATGCCTTTATCCATTTTTTGCATCAATTCCACTTTTTGTTTGATGGACATCGAAACATGCTTTCGCATTGTACATCCTTTGGCAGTATCCAGCATTGGAAATTCTATTTGACATAATCAAAAGTTCAAGCTTACTTTTATAAAATTGCTCTAACAGTCTGCGAAAAATAATAAGCTGGATCCAATTCGAAGATTAAGGAACAACGCAATCTGCAACATTACCTGAAATAGATAATTAGATAATTTTAGCTTACCTTATATTGTCCGTTATACATTAAACGTGCATGTGTACACGCATATGTGCTTGCATAAAGGTATTACGCGCATGCGTGAACGCATTATGCGTTGACACATGCGCAGAAAGTTTGTAGCTTTTAGGTCCGGATTATGGATCATTCCAGATTATGAGCGTCCGGATTAACGACTTTTGACTGTCAAACGTAAAATATAAATGCCATGAACTTATCTATTCAAAATCCTTTGTAGAACCATTGTAATGGATATAGGTTGTTTAGATTACTGTGAAAAAATATAAAGAAATAAATATAATTCAAATTTTGTTTGCCTCTGGGTGACATTTTTCAACAAAAATTTATTCAAGGTAGAAATTGCAGTATTTCAATACAAAGTAAACCCAAGGCAAAAGAAAGGCAAACTAAGTTGTTGCAGCTTGTATTTAGTATGTATACTTCATACATCTGTGGCACATTAGAAAGTATGACAGTAATGAAAGAGATTCCCAAAGAATACCAGTGACTTGATGCATTATGCTGACTTTCAACTTGCTCAGAGCCTGAATGCTTTCTTAATGAGCATGACCAGAATTCCTACAGCCAGAAAGCAGTGGAGACCAAAATTCTGGAAAACTTTTTGAAATCACATGATCATTTCTAAAGTTGGCATGAAGCAATGGTAAAAATATAGTTACAAGTGCCCCTTGTTGTAAATTGGCGATTTTTGGTGGTACATTGATACCAAGTTTGTGTGATTCTTTCACTTGTTATTTTGGCTTTGCAAAGCAGTGATTTTTGTAGTGAAAATTGCCACTACACAAAGCCAAAATAACAAGTTAAAGAATTGCTCAAACTCAGTATCCATCTACACATCGACTTATTTTCACTTAAAAAAAAAAAAAAAAATATTGCAGAATTGCACAAACTTGGCATTGCTCACTCTCTTGACTTTGTCCATGTACACATCGATGTATTTTCACTTAAAAAGTCAAAGCAGCAGCCCACAGAAAATATATAATCTCAATAAATTACATTTTAAATGAAACAATCAAATAACATAAAAAGGGAAATTCATTTTAGCACTACACAAAGGAAATATCCACTTATTTAGAAATTTCCCTGTCTTCAGTCAAAGAAAATTCATTAGCAGCATCCAAAAACTTCCTAAAATTATCTGAATTTAGAATCTGTATACTGGCGTCTCCACATGAATTTACAAAAATAAAAAAGAGTGAAAAATATCCCCCATAGTTCCAGTATCCTCCGATGTTCAACCATACACATTTCCTACAGACAGGACACTTAGTATGGCTAGTAAGTAAACCTTCATTTACACACCAGCCAATTAATGCTGTTTTCCCCTTTCGTTCCAAATCGTACAGAAACTTCAAATTAATCTTACCACATTCAGCCATTGTACCGTGTAAACCACAAAATAACAACTTAGTTCTTATCCAAAATCCGACACACAAACAAACCTTTTCAAAATCTTTTCCCATCATTCAAATTCATCGCATAGCGTTCAACTACTCAGGTTACCATAAAGGAAATAACAACTTTTTGATAAATGAAACAACAACTTAACGTGGAGAGTAACGACCAAGCAGAGTCAGGAGCTGTACTTTGGTGCTTTGACGTGAAGCTGTGTTCACCGTGTTAGCCTGAAATCTGTGTCACTGATTGTTCCAGCGTGTTTATAGTATATTTTCGATGACTGTAAAACATAATTTTGGAGCTGTCCTGAAAAATACTGGCTAATGAAGTGTGTTTCAATACATCATCGAGTGTCATCGTTATTCATTCCAAATCTACGAACGTGAAGGAAGAAAATAACATAATAATATATAACATAGGTGGGGAACCTGCGGCCTCCGTGAGGTTCTTGTGCGGCCCTTTGCTACCTAGTACAAAATGGTAGAGTTCGTTTCAAACAACTATTGTACATCAACGCTATGACAGTTGCACGAAAAATCCCACCAAAGACAGTCATATTGTAACATGACGTCAGAATACTAATCTGAAACGGACTCTTAACACGCATGAGCGAGGCTCTGGCCCACAGCTAGCAGCGCCAACTACCTTGTCTAAGAAGTAAACAAAACTCGGTTTCAGATCTCCCATTTGAGTGTCACACCTTTCAGGAGCTGTACTTTGGTGCTTTGATGTGAAGCTGTGTTCACCGTGTTAGCCTGAAGGCTGTGTCACTGATTGTTCCAGCGTGTTTATAGTATATCTTCGATGACTGTAAAACATGATTTTGGAGCTGTCCTGAAAAATATTGGCTTCTCTGACTCGCATCTCTCAACGCTTCCCTGTTGCGATCTTCAGCTAACCATAGTTAACAGTGCGTGCTTATAACAGGTACACGGTTTTATTGTATTTCTAGAAAGTACACACTTTGTTAAAGATATTATTTGATATTCGTTTTTTTATCCATCATGTCAAATAGTAAGAGAAGAAAATTAGGTGATGAAAACAGAACATTTAATGTAGAATAGGAGTTAGATTTTTTTTTTAGATTTTTTTTTTTTTTACTGCTGAGAAAGATAAAATGATGTGTTGTGTTGTGTTTGTGTGCAATACAGTTTTAAATACTTTTAAAAAAAAGCGAATGCAAATAAACACTATTTCACTCATAAAGAACATAAATATTTCGCTTTAGAAGGTGAATCACGAAAAGCTGCACTTCAAAAGTTGAAAAATGAGACGCATCATCAGCAGGCATCTTTTAGTGCCTTTGTAAATCAAAATTCCGCTGCAGTTGCTGTTACGTAGATCCAAGAAATGTTGACAAATACAAACAATTACCTCTTTCAAGAAGAACTGTAACAGATCGACAGCACGAATTAGCGCAAAATGTAACAGCGCAACTTCATGCAATTATACAAAATGAA